GTGTGTGTGTGTGTGTGTGTGTGTGTGTGTGTAGTGCTGAGGATGGGATCCAGGTCTTGTCCAGTTCCTGGGAAAGCTCGCTGTCACCGAACCACACCCCCAGCCCCTCACTGGGGGATTCTAGGAAGAGCCACACACCCCCAACCCGAGCCTGGCCTTCTGGAAGGCGGAACCTTAGGGGCTTCTCTGAGCGAGAAGTGAAAAGATAGATCGGAGTGACGTAGATGCAAGTTTGGCTTCTAGATCGTGAGGAAGGAAGGTTGGAAGGATAAGGCTGAGATGGGACGGTGTCCAAGACCTTTATCGTCTTCATCTTGGCCGCTTCGGTCGGCTTCCCGGTGGTGAGAACTTGGCCTGTTCTCAGAGGGACCTTTAGAATTGAAGCCATTACCTGTACACAACCCCTTCACACCGTGCGCTCTGTGGACCCCAGGTTGAGGTCAAGGTTAACATTCTGTTTCCATACTGTCTTCCTTTGGCCAAACGAGTCTTTCCATCATGCCGCCTGGCAGAAAGGCATGACTGCCTGCTTCCTCTAGATGGCCACACATGTACGGTGGACACATGAGCACTTCCTTCTTATCCAGGGAAACTGTCTCTCTTCCCCTGAGTGTCTCATGGACCTATGGAAGCCTGACTGACAAGCAGAACAGGGACTGGAAGTGAGGCGTGGTGGTACACACGTTAAATCCCAGCACTCGGGGGCAGAGGCAGACAGATCTCTGTGAGTTCAAGGCCAGCCTGGTCTACGTAGTGAGCTCTAGGCTAGCCAGGGCTACATGGTAAGATCCTTACTATGTAGTGTCTCTTTTCCTCCCCTGCCCTGAGGAAGGTCTTTAGCCTATCCCTAAGAAGTGGGTGGTGGGGCTAGAGAGATTGCTTGGTTGGTTGGGAAGACTCGCTGCTCTCTCAGAGGATGCAGGTTTGGTTCCCAGCACCCACATGGCAGCTCATAGTCATCTATAACTCCAGCTCCAGGCACTCTGCTGCCCTCTTCTGGCCTTTGTGGGCACCAGGCATGCACGTGGTACAGGGAGACACTAAAGACACAAAGGTGTAAGAAATGGGTATGAGAAGCTGGGCATGGTGGTCCACACCTCTAATCCTAGCACTCTGGAGGCAGAGGCAGGGGCATCAGGAGTTCAAGGCCAGCCTCAGCTACATATTGAGCCCAAGATTACACACTCAAGCCTTACACTATACTATCTGAAGACTAGGTAAGTCCCTCTCTCAAAGACAAAAGAAAGAGAAAGATGTGAGAGCCCTTCATGATGGTACACACCCCCTATAACTGCTGCACTGGAGTTGCTGAGGCAGGAGGATTTCCTGGCTTTTTATTAGCATATATTAATTATACAAGAGTCCATTTAATTATGGCATCTTTATACCTGTGTATGATGCATTTGGATTACACTCTCCTGCCCTCTCCCACTGCATCCTTCCTCTTCTTAGTTCCCTTCTATTTTCATGTTTTTCTGCTTGTGGGAGAATGGAGTGGGGGGGTCCCCTGTCCTGGCACTCACTCCGTAGACCATGCTGACCTCAAACTCAGATATCCACCTGCCTTTGCCTCCCAAGTGCTGGGATTAAAGGTGTGAGCGGTCACCACTGCCCAGCATCATGTCTTTCAATTTTGAGTAACATTTATTCATTGTGTGTGTTCGGGGAGGCGGGGTGAATGCCCTGGTGTGATATCAGGTCAGAGGACAACTTGTGGGAGTCTGTGCTACAGCGTTCCACCGTGTGGATCATGGCGGTCACACTCGGGTCATCAGGCTGGACCTCATGTCTTCTGTTGTTGTTGTTGTTACCTAATGAGTTAGGGTTGCCATAGGCTCATGGCTGAGGGGTTATTTATAGGAACATGGGCACCCTACCAGTGTCTTTACCGCTGTAGAAACCATGTCCCCCTCTCCCAGCAGCCACCCACTGCCTATAGATCCTCACGGAGCGGTGAGACCTCCTCTAGCATCTCTCTGACCATAAGGTGACATGATTTCCAATTCCAGGCCAGCCTGGGCTACATATAGAAACTCATGGGCTGGAGCGATGGTTAAGAGCACTGCTCTTCCAGAGGACCCAGGTTCAATTCCCAGCACCCACATAGCAGCTCACAGTTGTCTGTAACTCCAGTTCCAGGAGATCTGGCACCTTCACACAGCCGTACATGTAGGCGAAACACCAATGCACATAAAATAAAAATAAATCTTAAAAAAAAGGAAACTCGCCGGGCGGTGGTGGCGCACGCCTTTAATCCCAGCACT